AGATGATTTCAAATGAAACTTTACCTCATATCATGGCACTATATAGAGCCTTACCTCAGGAATATGATGTAGATCAAGCTATCAAGGACGCTTGGTAACCAGGTCCTTGAGCTTGAAAGGGGGGAATGTGGCATCTGAATATAGACTGCAATTTTAATCAAGACTTATATTGGCTTATATTTTGATCAGGTTCCTAAAATTCTAAAAATAATGTTTCTTCCAAGGTAGAAAACCAGCAAGCGGCTCCAGCAAGCAGCTGGCAAGCAAAGGGCCCCTGGTTTATTGCGGTCATAAAAAGGCTGAGAAGCAGGTCACTGACCTTGCATGCTGTAGAGTACCACTAAGTCGTAAAAGCTGGAATTACAGGCTGAAGACCAAGGTTACACAGACCCTACATAATTAGGGATGAGTAAACAGTAAAATAAAACCATGGGCCTCTCTTAAACTTGAGTCACAGGACAAAAGGTCAAGAGCACTTGGAAGAGAAAACAAGGCGACTGGCTGGAGAAGGGGGGGAAGTATGAACAGGGAAGAGGCTTCTTTTAAAACGATTTTTTACTGTGTTCCTTTTTACTGAGTTCTTTTTCTTCTTTAAAAAGGCTTTATTCTTTTAAAGAAGCTACCTGTGTTGTGTATTAAATATGCTGGCTTAAATGTAATTATGCAAAGGATTTAACAAATGCTAGAAGAGTTGTATTTATCTTGAAATTAAGTCAGCCACCAGTCCAGCCCCCTGCCAAACAAGAAGACGCCATCGGAGCAATTCTGATATATAAGTTGTCAGATATTTGTTTAGAAACCTTCAAATGAAGGAGATCTTTCAATATTGATGTGAAACTCAAGATCCTTGACATATGTTTAAGATAAAAATTTAAGATTAACCATTTGTTTTAGAAGGCAATAGGGCAAGAGGTGAGCTGGTAATTAAGATTCCATGTAAGATATATTATTACTTATTTGTCATTTATATATAGCTCTTTGTCTCCCTTATAAGGACAGGAGGATATGAGTGTATTTTTGTGATTGGTTATACTAATCAGCCAATAGGAATTTCAACCAGGCTGATGGGACAGAGGCAGCCCAAGGAGGAGCAAAAGGGGCTGGATTAAGGGAATATAAGTGCTGGCCATAATGGCAGGAGGCAGGCCAGAGCTTGGTAATCATATACCACTGTGCCTCTTATTTATTTGTCTGACAAATAAATTATTATTTAATTTCTCTGTTGCTGCGTTGAATATTTCATTCCAGCTAAGCGTTAACCACAAGCAGGGTGCTACAATATTTTAGTGTTTTTTGGTTTCTATGGAAGCCGCCCAGAGTGGCTGGGGAAACTCAGCCAGATGGGCGGGGTACAAATAAATTATTATTATTATTATTATTATTATTATTATTATTATTATTATTGCAAAAAATAAAATAAAATCTCCACTATTACACAGTGAGGAGACAGTAGCCTTTCTTGACAGTTTCATAATTTGCAGTCTACAGCTGCACCTACAAGCATCCCCAACGCTCTCTACTTGCACTTAAAGCAGTTGTGCAGAAGTCTCCAGGCTTCATGGCACCCCTAATATCTGTTGTGAGGTGCTTTGGGCACTCTGTAGTGTGGGAAAGTGGCAAACACGTTAAGTACAGTACATTAAGCTAAAAGGAGGCAACATCTTCCAGTGACTGGTGCAAAGCTACGTTTGGGGGAGAAAACCCAAGCGTTTCCAGGAATACGAAATGTGTTGCCTGCAGATGTAATCCCAATCATTTCTTTAGGTGCTGACCCTGCCTCCTGCTCTCCTGAAGATAACTGCAAATGGACATGCATAGCAAAAACATGGACGCAGTTCATTTTTTTTTTTTAATGCAAATACCCTGAAATACCTTCAATGCAGCTGTAAGCAGCCTTCTCTCACGTCATTGCAGGGGGAAATGCTTTTTGCAAAATACCAATGTCAGTGCAACTTCTATTTTAAAAAGTGATGTTGCATTTATTGTTTGCAACAATTGCCTGGGCGAGCAGGCGGGCTGTCTATATGCACTATACGTGCACCCCCGTCTAGCCCCCTTGAAAACGGCTGCTTTTATTTGCAGAAGGGCGCAACACGGACAAGCGTGCTGCCAAAGTCCCAAACACTTAAACGGGGCGCGGGACCTAAAGGGGCTTAGCTTTGGCTTCGCAATAGCAGCACCGCCGCTTGCAAAGCGAGGGTGCAGGACAGCGCGCAAAGCTCAGGCGCTGTAGACCCGACGGCGAGCGCGCCCGTTTTGCAAGGAGAGCCCGGGCAGCCAAGCAGCCGCGCTTCTCCCACCTCCTCGCTCCGGGCCGCGGCTGGAAGCTGCCTGGGCTCCTCCCCCCGTCGAGAAGGCGCCAAAAGCCCGGGGAGAGTCCCGTCGGGGAGGGCAGGCGAAGCGAGGGAGCCGCTTTGGCCCGAGGTTCGCCCGACGGCCGCGCATGGCGAGCTTCTCCCGGGACTGCCGCCCCCGGCGCGCCCTGGCGCGCACGTCGGGCCGGGACTCCTGCGTCCAGTACGTGCCGGTGGGTATGCCCCCTCGGAGCCTGCTGGACCAGCTGGTGGTGGACATGCAGAACCACTTGGAGGAGATGGAGAAGATGCGCGTGGTGCTGGTGGACGCGTACCCGTGCCTGGCCACGCGGCGCGAAGGCCGACGGCGAAGGAGCCGCGGCAGGAAACTCGACAGGCGCTGCCTGGACGACGACGAGGACGAGGACGACGGCACCAGCGACTACCTGTACTCCCTGGACGTGACCGGCTTCGAGCCCGAGGAGCTGTCGGTGAAGGTGGAAGGCAGGAAGCTGACGGTGAGCGCCAAGCACGACAAGAAAACCGAGGGGACGGACGGCTGCGTCTCGCACGAGTTCCGCGAGGTGCGCAAGGAGGTCTTGCTCCCCGGAGATGCCAACATCGAGGCGCTGGCTTGCAACTTCTCCTCCGAGTTGGGGTGTCTCAGCATCGAGGCGCCGCGCCTGGTCCCCAAGTCCGTCGGGGAGAGGACCATCCCCATCACCATCCTCAAGGCTTCCGACGCCGCCGGGACGGCGAAAGAGAGCCTGCCTCCGGCGGAGAAGGAGGAGAAGGAGGAGGAGAAGGAGAAGGATAAATCCAAATCCAAATCGCGTTCTTCCAGCCCGGAGAAAGGAGCTGCCGTCTGAAAAAGTTGCCCGACAGTTCCTCGCGCGGCACTTGCCTTCGGGGATGCTGTGAAAGCGCTTTGCGCCTCTTTGGGGTCTCTGTTTAAGGAGCGGTTCTGGTTTCGTTCAGTTCAAGTGCGTTGTTATTTGTGCTTGTTTGGTGAAAAGTAACTTCACAAAAGTACAAGGAAAAGATGATCTGCAAGGCCTTCTGGCAACCGTTGTTGCATGTTGACTTTTGAAACCTTTGTTCCTGCTTGCCGACGCTTTTGAAAAATGTGAACCCAAAGAGTTGAGCATTTATTGGCGTGTTTGTTGGCTTGTTTCAATAAATTAGACTTCTATTATCTGGTTTCTCGTTTAGTGTTTTTAATTTTATTTTAGGGGGGAATTGCATTAAAAGCTTGAAAAAGCTGGCTGGAGTTGAAAGAGGGCCACTTTTTAAAGATTTCAGAATAAATCCCAGGGGCAGGGGAGGGGTGTATCTGCTTGTGTGGCTGTTACTGGGTTATTTGGGATCAAAAGTCTCCAGCCCCATAAAGGAATAGGATGGACAAGCCTGCTAGTATAGCCCAGGGGTACAATTTCTGCCTGGCGTGCCAGCGATCCCTGTCTGCTGAACTTGGAGAGGGCCCTGCTTGAAAAGCTGCCATGGTGGTCCAGATCTTTATCTCTCTCTCCCCCCAACTTTGACAGGTGAGTGGGACCATCCACCTGTCGATCACCTGGCAGCCCACCTGGTTCAGTCCTCCTCAGCGCAGGTATCAACTGTGCACATTGAACCTGCCCATCAAGGTGCTCTCACCGGATTCCACTCCTCAAAATGGAACTTGAATTCACATTTGGTTCACCTAGCAATTGTGGGAACTGCTTTCAAGTGAAGAAGAGTTTGGATTTGATATCCCGCTTTATCACTACCCGAAGGAGTCTCAAAGCGGCTCACAATCTCCTTTCCCTTCCTCCCCCACAACAAACACTCTGTGAGGTGAGTGGGGCTGAGAGACTTCACAGAAGTGTGACTGGCCCAAGGTCACCCAGCAGCTGCATGTGGAGGAACGGGGAAGCGAACCCGGTTCCCCAGATTACAAGTCTACCGCTCTTAACCACTACACCACACTGGCTCCAGGTTAAGTTCAGGAGACCTGGGAGACAGGGGTTCACATCCGGTGAACTCCACTTAGGTGACCTTGAGACAGCCACTAATTCTGGGCCTAGCTGACTTCACATCTGTGGTGAGGACAAAATGAGAACTATGCGTGCCTTATTCCTTTGGGGAAAGGTACGCAACACAAGCGTCATTCCGCCAAACTCATTCCAAGTACCGTTTGCAAAGAACGGCTTGTTCTTTGGAATGCGGTCGCACATCTTTTGATGTTGAAGTCGCCCTGCTGGTTTTTGGAAAAGGCGATGCCTTTATTTGCAAAGGGTGGGTGAAAGGCAGAACAAAGTTTTGAAACTTTGCAGATCAAACCACTCGCCCCAATGCTGCTTCCAAAACCAAGCGCGCAAAAGATGGCAGCTTTCCCTGGTTTCTGCCGGCATTTTGAAACTCGCATTTCAGTGCCATGGTAAAGAGCCAGCAAAGATACTTAAATCGGGTTGCAGGGAATCTTTGGGCCCCTAGATATTTCTGAACCCCCATCTCTGGTCGCTTGCAGTGCTTGCTGGGGATGATGGGAGTTGTAGTTCGGCAATATTGGTCAAAGCTTCTCCACCAGTAACTTGACTAAACTCAGTTTCCCCAACAGCTGTGGGTGCAAATCAGTTATTTCTCCATCTTGCCAGGGCAGAACCTAATCCATAGCAAAAACCACATATTTCGAATCCACATTGCAACAGACAGACAGATATACACGTCTAGAATAAGGATTGCACAATTTATTTCTCTTGCGTACAGAAATTTATATGCATTTATTTGAAAGCGGTACGATTTCCCCTAAAGACTGGTGCAATTTGATCGTTAAGCCACACGCAAAAATTAAGAGGAGCATACATGCGGTCCAGTATGTTCTCATACAGGTATAAAAGCCAGGATTGCTAACATTCAAGGCACTGTTAAATCTGTCTATGCCACAATAGGTTAGTCCTATTTGGATGCTCCTGTTTAGAATCGCAGCCCACCTCTGTCATCAAACTCAGGTGGTTGGTGGCAGCAGCAGCAGCAGCAATGGAGTCAGAACAGGACCCGCGAGGAACGAGAGGGGTGTATCTTAATGAAAGATTTGCAGTAGTACGTTGGTGGGCAGGGGGCACAAACACATAAACCCAGCCCAGTAAGAACCGAGCATGTTCAGCGGGTGCCATGGAACGTCAAATGTCCATTGGAAAAGGAAAATGGGTGCCAGGGACAGATTGCAGGGCAGATTCGAGGGTAAAGTCCTAGGCTCTGTGGTTTAACCCACAGCGCCACCCGCATGGATCTCTACTATTTCAGAAAGTTCAGTCTTTTTTGTGCCGGGGTGTGTGTGTGTGTGTGTGTGTGTGTGTGTGGAGTTTGCTGTGTAAGGCCTCCCAAACAACTTGTGTAACCCGAATCTGCCAGCAGGTGATTTGAGTCCCACTGGAAAATAGCAACCAGCCTGCAATTGCCCTGAACTGAATTCTACCTGCAGAAACCTGTCCTGCAGGTGCTCCTCAAGCTCTGCATTTATGAGGTTTGCTCCCAGCCCCCAGCCCCCAATTCCCACACTGCAGTGTGCAATACATTCCTAGACAGATCCGTTGAGTGCAAAGGGGCACTTTCAGTTCTTAAGGCACAGGAAAGGTGCTGCGTCTGTAGGTGATGAGGCGGCGGTGGTGGTGGTTTGGAGCAGGATCCGAGGCACGATGCAGAGGGGGTGCTGCCGCCGCCCCCCACTCCTGGGCACAGGAAAAGGCTTTGCGGGTTACTGGCTCCCTCTCTGGAGATCAAGGAGAAGCCGGTGGAGCTTTTCTGTCACAGCCACCTGAGAGCAGGAGAAGTTGAGAATGAGGGATCACAGATAACAGAATTGTAGGAGATGGAAGCGAACCCCAAGGACCAGCTAGGCCAGGGGTCAGCAAACTTTTTCAGCAGGGGGCCGTTCCACCGTCCCTCAGACCTTGTGGGGGGGCACACTATATTTAGAAAAAAAATAATGGAACCAATTCCTATGCCCCACAAATAACCCAGAGAGGCATTTTAAATAAGAGCACACATTCTACTCATGGAAAAATACCAGGCAGGCCCCACAAATAACCCAGAGATGCGTTTTAAATAAAAGGACACATTCTACTCATGTAAAAACATGCTAATTCCTGGACCGTCTGCGGGCCAGATTGAGAAGGCAATTATAATTATAAATATATATATATACATATATATATGTATATATGTTCTGTTCCAGTAACAAGAAGCCGAAAGCACCAGCCTGAAGATGACGAGTGAGACCTCGTCGAAACGTCGCCTAGACACCCCAACTTTTACACGGGAAGACACCCGAGGACACCAAAACCTGCATATATATACATATATACACACACACACACACACACACACATACATACCCCGCCCATCTGGCTGGGCTTCCCCAGCCACTCTGGGCGGTTTCCAAAAAAAAAAAATGTAATACATCAAACATTAAAAGCTTCCCTAAAGCCAGATCTAGCCCCCGGGCCTTAGTTTGCCTACCCATGATCTAGGCAAACCTCCTTGCAATGCAGGAATATGCAGCCGCCCCATATGGGGATTCGAACCTGCAACCTTGGCGTTCTCAACACCACACTCTAACCAGCTGAGCTATCCAGGCAGGGAAGGAGTGCTTCGGCTCAGCAGGAGGGCCCAGGATCTGCACTGGGGTGGGTTCAATCCCTTTCCACCCTCCCAGCAGATGTGAAGGAAATAAGCAGCTATTTTATCTTTAAAAGACATCTGAAGGCAGCCCTGTTCAGGGAAGTTTTTAATATTTAATGCTGTATTGTTTTTAACACTCGATTGGGAGCTGCCCAGAGTGGCTGGGGAAACTCAGCCAGATGGGCAGGGTATAAATCATAATCATAATCCACATTAAGAGATTCTGAATCGGGTTCGTTAGGCCTCTTTGTACCTTGTAGGTCTCCGCGTCCTTCAGTCTCTTGTGCGCAGGGTTGAGCTTGTTCAGCGAGGCCTGCGCATGGTCCTTGATCTCCACAAGGCTGGGGAGTGGCTGGCAGACCTTTGTGGTGGGAAAAGCAGAAGGAAAGCATTTCAAAATGTTCAGGAATTGGGAATAAAACCATAAGAGCAGACCAAAATCCCATCTAATTCAGGAGCTGGGGACTGTCTTCCAACCAGAGGCGATCCCAAGACATCTTGGCTGCCTGAGGCAAAGAACAATATGGTGCTGGGGAGAGAGAATCACAGAATTGTAGAGTTGGAAGGGACCCCGAGGGTCATCTAGTCCAACCCACTGAAATGCAGGAATCTTAGCAAAAGCATCCCGGACCAATGACCATCCAATCTCTGCTTAAAAACCTGCAGAGAAGGAGAGGCCAACAGCTCATACTGCAATGAAGTTCTGCCTGATTTTTAGTCACAAACTCCTTTCTTTATATTGGGGTTCAATACCCAATATCCTGGGACGCGGGTGGCGCTGTGGGTAAAACCTCAGTGCCTAGGACTTGCCGATCGTAAGGTCGGCGGTTCGAATCCCCGCGGCGGGGTGAGCTCCCGTCTTTCGGTCCCAGCTCCTGCCAACCTAGCAGTTCGAAAGCACCCTTAAGTGCAAGTAGATAAATAGGGACTGCTTTATAGCGGGAAGGTAACGGCGTTTCCGTGTGCGGCGCGGGTGCTGGCTCGCCAGACGCAGCTTCGTCACGCTGGCCACGTGACCCGGAAGTGTCTTCGGACAGCGCCAGCTCCCGGCCTCTTGAGCGAGATGAGCACGCAACCCCAGAGTCGGTCATGACTGGCCTTCGGGCAGGGGTACCTTTACCTTTTTACCCAATATCCTGATAGTCAATAATGCAATCATCAGTCAATCAGGAGGTTTATTTAGCATTGCAATGGATGCATGACACTTAACCCTGCTTAGGAAGACAGGAAGGTGTCATTCAGGGTACAAGACATAGCAATCTTTTAAATATTTTAAGCATCCCCGAATAACAGCTGTTCTGCCCGGTTTAGTCACGTGGCACAACAACGGCTGACAGACAGAAAAACTGCTTTCCTCCTCCAGCTCTCTGCACCCAAACTGACCACTCAAATGAGAACTGGGATCTTCTACGAGTCCCGAAATATTTTATTTCTCTCTCATTTGGGCTCTGACCCCACCCTGGCCAGAAAGCACAAGGCTCTATGCCGCAGGCTGGCATAATTATTGTTATTTATTGAATTTCTATACCGCCCTATACTTGGGGGTCTCAGAGAAAAATCAAAATATAAAACCACAAAATACATAATAAAATGAAAAACAGCAACCCAATAGCCCGTTCCCCCCAAAAAAACAAATTTAAAAGGGCATCAGATCAATGTTTTTGCTTGGCGCCTAAAGGTATATAATGAAGGCGCCAGGTGAACTTCCCTGGAGAGAGCATTCCACAAACGGGGAGCCACTGCAGAGAAGGCCCCGTTCTTGTGTTGCCAGCTTCTGGACCTCTCGAGGAGGAGGCACACAAATTAGGGACTCAGAAGATGATCTCAGCATCCGGGTATATTATTATGGAAAGAGGCGGTTCTTGAGGTATTGCGGTCCTGAGCCGTTTAAGGCTTTACAGGTCAAGACCAGCACTTTGAATTGGGCCCGGAAACTAACTGGCAGCCAGTGCATTGGTGTAATAGGCTTAAACTGTCTTGCTCTGGAGAGCTTCCTGGCCGCTGAATTCTGCACCGGCTGAAATTTCCAAACCGTCTTCAGAGGCAGCCCTAAATGCAAAGCAACATCGGACCACATGAAGTCTTGCAAAGAAAGGACCGCAAGGGTCTTCCTCCCCACCTGCCCATCTTTGAGGTAGACGCGGTTCAGCATTTCGACTGCTGAAGGAGTCACTTTTCCAGCTTCCTGGGTCGTTCCCACCAGCCAGAAGTCCACCTCCTGCCCGGCCCTTGGAGGAGGTTCCATTTCCAAAGTCATGAGATCCATGCATGGGAATCCTGCAAGCGAAAGAAGGGCAGTATCATGACCCAAAGAGAGGAATGAGAGTGAAAGGCCAGGTATAGAACCACAGAATTGTAGAGTTGGAAGGAACCCCAAGGATTATCAATAATAATAATAATAATAATAATAATAATAATAATAATAATAATAATTTATTATTTATACTCTGCCCATCTTACTGGTTTCCCCTGCCACTCTGGGCGGCTTCCAACAGAACACTAAAATATAATAACCTATTAAACATTAAAAGCTTCCCTAAACAGGGCTGCCTTCAGATGTCTTCTAAAAGTCTGGTAGTTGTTTTTCTCTTTGACATCTGGTGGGAGGGCGTTCCACAGGGCGGGTGCCACCACCAAGAAGGCCCTCTGCCTGGTTCCTTGTAACCTGGCTTCTCGCAGGGAGGGAACCACCAAAAGGCCCTCGGCGCTGGACCTCAGTGTCCGGGCAGAACGATGGAGGTGGAGACGTTCCTTCAGGTTTACTGGACCGAGGCTGTTTAGGGCTTTAAAGGTCAGCACCAACACTTTGAATTGTGCTCGGAAATGTACTGGGAGCCAATGTAGGTCTTTCAGGACTGGTGTTGTGTGGTCTCGGCGGCTGCTCCCAGTCACCAGTCTAGGTGCTGCATTCTGTATTAGTTGTAGTTTCCGGGTCACCTTCAAAGGTAGCCCCACGTAGAGCGCACTGCAGTAGTCCAAGCAGAAGATAACCAGAGCATGCACCACTCTGGCCAGTCCAACCCCGGCAATAGAGGAATCACAGCTAAAGACTCCCCGACAGATGGTCCCCCAAGTCCACAGCTGAATGGCTCTTAGCCCCAGAAAGTTCTTCCGAATGTTTAGTCGGAATCTCCTTTCTTGTCACCTGAACCCATGGGTTCGAATCCTACCTTTCAGAGCAAGAGAAAACAAGCTTGTTCCATCCTCCATGCGGCATCCTTTTGGATAGCTGAAGAAGGCCTATCCCATCTCCTCTCAGTCTCCTCTTCTCCAGGATAAACATACCCAAATCCCTCAACTGTTCCTCATAAGGTTTTTTAAGCAGAGGTTGGGTGGCCAACTGTCATGGATGTTTAGCTGAGATTCCTACATAGCACGGGGTTGGGCTAGATGACCCGCGGGTCCCTTCCAACTCAATTCTACGATTCTTTGATTTCCAACCAAGCAGAAATACTTGAGGAAGGGACATTGATAGAGAACTATTTGCCCTCTAGACTTGAGGACTTCTGTTAGACCTCTAGCCTAACACCTCTTTGGTGTTACACCTCCTTCCGTTGGGCCTGTAAGACAGAGCTATTCCGCCTGGCCTTTAATCTGAATTCAGACTGATCTTTTATTTCCCTTCCCTCCCCTTTTATGAGGATCACCCGCTCTGAGACTCCACAGCTCATTCTCCCCTGGCCTCCTCACTGGCCCAAGTAGGACCCATTCAGCCAGCTAGCCCTGGGGACTATCTAATGCTTATTTCCCCTAAATTGATTTCTGAATTTTGAATTTTATTGTTATTCATGTTTTTATACTGTATTTTATGCTGCTTTTACAATTAAGTGTTTTAAATTTGTTTTTAGCTGCCCTGAGCCTGGTTTTTGAACCGGGAAGGGCGGGGTATAAATAATTTTATTATTATTATTATTATTATTATTATTAGACCGAGAGCAATGGACTCTGAGAACAGAAGGAATCTCCTTTATCCTATGTTCGAAAACCAGGCCCCAAAATCTCACCTCCGGCATCCCAGAGCCTGTAGACTCGCTTGATTCCAGGTAAGGTTGTCTTCTCTTTGTCTTCCGTCACCTTCAGTCTCGGGGAACCGTTCACCTCCACCAGCTATGGACAGAGAGACAGGCAGTTGTTCATGGAAGCAACCTGGTTTTTGTTTAGGATAATGGCAATAGCGATGGAGGGAAGGATGGGGAGACAGGACGGGGGCAGGCAGGCAGGCGAATGCACGGCGGGATTATGTGGGCCACCCTATTAAATACGGTGCTCAGGCGGAATCTCTTTCCAGGAATCAAATCTACTTGTTGTTCTTTGCAGTTCCTTTAAAGCAATCCAGTGCTGATAGTGGGAATTAAGGAGCCGAGAGAGGTGGCAGGCAGGCAGGTAAATTTGGTGGGTGGGGAGGAAGAGGTATCATATAGAACCCAAGGCTCCCGGAATAGTCTATATTTGGATACCATTAATGTGGCAGTAAGGGATGCGGGTGGTGCTGTGGGTTAAACCACAGAGCCTAGGACTTGCCGATCAGAAGGCCAGCAGTTCGAATCCCCGCGACGGAGTGAGCTCCCATTGCTCGGTCCCTGCTCCTGCCAACCTAGCAGTTCGAAAGCTCGTCAAAGTGCAAGTAGATAAATAGGTACCGCTCCGGTGGGAAGGTAAACGGCGTTTCCGTGCGCTGCTCTGGTTCGCCAGAAGCGGCTTAGTCATGCTGTACGCCGGCTGCCTCGGCCAATAAAGCTAGATGAGCGCCGCAACCCCAGAGTCGGCCATGACTAGACCTAATGGTCAGGGGCCCCTTTACCTTTAATGTGGCAGTAAAAAAATTTTTTTTGCACCCAAGGTGCTCTTATGCTGCACAGGGTGAGATTAGGAAGGAAATGCAGGCTGCTGAAATGTGAAAAGCTTTGCCTTCATTAAAGGAAGAAGAAGCAATCTTCTAGTCCTCAAGATTTAAAAATGTGCAGGAAGCTTTTGCTAGTGGTTTAGAAAGGTTGAGCTTCTATACAACATCTGGGTGCTGCATAGTGATCATCCTCCATGACCCGAAGGATAGATTTCTATGGATCTGAGTTAGGGGATCAAATACGCTGTTTTGGAGAGAGAGAGAGAGAGAGAGAGAGAGAGAGAGAGAGAGAGAGAGAGAGAGAAACAGAAGAAGAAGAAGAGGAGGAGGAGTTTGGATTTGATATCCTGCTTTATCACTACCCTAAGGAGTCTCAAAGCGGCTCACAATCTCCTTTCCCTTCCTCACCCACAACAAACACTCTGTGAGGTGAGTGGGGCTGAGAGACTTCAGAGAAGTGTGACTAGCCCAAGGTCACCCAGCAGCTGCATGTGGAGGAGAGGGAACTGAACCTGGTTCACCAGATTACAAGTCTATTGCTCTTAACCACTACACCACACTGGCTCTCAGAGAGAGACCCAGCCCAAGTCCTCCTTTAATACCTCAACTGCTAGTAGATAATGCATTTATTGGCCTTTGGCAACCTTTGGACTACAACTCCCATCAGCCACAGCCAGTCATGCTGGCTGTGGCTGATGGGAGTTGTAGTCCAAAACACCTGGAAGGCCCCAGCTTGCCAAAAGCTGGCTTATACATTTGCAAAATTCTGTCTCCCAATGCATCCCCGTTTCTGAAAAGCTACCATAAAGAAGGCTGATCGCCGAAGAATTGACGCTTTTGAATTCTGGTGCTGGAGGAGACTCTTGAGAGTCCCATGGACTGCAAGAAGATCAAACGCATCCATTCTTAAGGAAATCAGCCCTGAGTGCTCACTGGAAGGACAGATTGTGAAGCTGAGGCTCCAAGACTTTGGCCACCTCATGAGAAGAGAAGACTCTCTGGAAAAGACCCTGGTGTTGGGAAAGATGGAGGGCACAAGGAGAAGGGGACGACAGAGGACGAGATGGTTGGACAGTGTTCTCGAAGCTACCAGCATGAGTTTGACCAAACTGCGGGAGGCAGTGGAAGACAGGAGTGCCTGGCGTGCTCTGGTCCAGGGGGTCACAAAGAGTCGGACATGACTAAATAACAACAACATCACGCCAGCAGGCTCATAAAGGTTACTCTCTTTCCCCCTCTGTTAATCATG